CAAATCTCTGTTGAAGAGTCAAAGACCATTGGAAAGAAGATTCTGAGGCGATCCAAGGAATCAATTACCTGTTATTCGAACTCTGGTTGACCAACTCATGGACAGGATAGAGGGGAACAGCAAAGAAAATGCAATTGGCAAGGTAACAGTTAATAAATCAAGAATAGCTTTCAACAAAAATTGGTTGCATTGTCTCTCAGTGGCTCCCAAGGTGAGATGGTAGCGATGCTCCTGGTTCCTACAAAGCCATTTGGGCTCCATGGAGCTGCAACAGAAAACTTGAACAGATTTCATCTCTTGACCTCAGAGACTGAGAGGGTAAATTTGAAGACAGCTTCACACTTTAGGAGATAACTACTAATCAACAAATTAATTAATTAAAGCTGCTGCCTTCAAATGTACTGTGATAAAAATATTGAATTTATATTTGATTCTCCTACAACTATTCCACATCTGTTCTAAGCAGCATATATAGATCCAACTTATTTCTTTGTATATGGGGTTTTTTCAATGTGGTATAAAATCATAAACACTTCTTTTACACAACTTTGCATGAGCCAAGGTAACATTTTGCTCCTTTTGATGTACATTAAGCATAGCTATGAAATCAAGCATCTATATTATATAGTAAGCATATTTTTCTCTGCCATTCTATATTATCTTACTGGAGGCAGCAGTTTTTGCTAGTGGATATAGCTAGAAATTAGGACTTAGGTGAGCCATTTAAACTCTTTCCTTTACTTCATCCATAAAATTATGATACTTTATAGCGAACTCACAAATATTTACTCATAAGAGCTCACACAATGCTTTGAAGGTGGCATTACTTTTTATTTCAACATTTGCTCCATAACTAGACACTAGAGTCATCACAAGGCAGTGATCCCTGTGAAGCTGTCATCTTATGCCACCTTTACTATTCATCTTGATAAATGCTATCATATCTTGGTAATGAACACTTCCATCTCAGTCTTACATGGTAGTACCAATACATTTATAAGTGGTTCACTGTAGCATATCTCTTGAGGTTATGATTTATACTTAAAGCAGTATTATATCTTAGCAAGGACTCGAAGCTAATAATAAATCAGATAAAATGAAAAGGATTTGAACAAATAGTTTAAAATATTAATTGATAAACCTGCCTCTCCTTTTTAATCCCTCATGTTGGATATTTGTGGAAATATATGATTGAAGCTCTCAGAATATTGTTTTAGGAAGACGCTGATTTTATGTAAAAATATTTATTTGGGAACAGTTTTATAAGAGGTAAATGTTTTAAAAAGGATGCCACTGATGGATGTGGGCAGAAACAACATAAAACTGTTGAGATCAAGGGCACTATTCAGTGCCCAGCAACACATGATAACATCCTATATCTGAATAGCATTTTAGAGCTTACAGGATTCATCAATGCTTTATCTCTTTTAAACACATGAAGCGGTTGGAGATGTAAGAAACAAGTTTAATTGATAGAATCTCTGATCTTTGGAGAAAGAAGGCCAAAAGCTTATTGAAAACCATGATTTTATTTTTCTCACATCGATGTGAGTGATCTTTCCCCCTGTTTAACTGATTTTTACTTATAAGCCTACATTTCAACATTCCCTTGAAGACAAAATATTCTTTGTCAAAGGCATAATTCAGACAACCATAGGAGAAACATGGGACAATCTGATCCTGCTGAAGTATTGCATTCTTCATAGACATCCATTCAATCCTCAAATAGACAATGACCATCGATGTCGGCAAAATTAGCTAATTTGCTTGTGTTGATGTAACCTTACTTATTTAACAGTTGGTGCATCCCCAGGGGTATAATCAAGATGCAAGCTCCTGTGTCAGAGAAGAGTTTGGATGATCAGTGCCTGGAGAAGACTAACCTTGGCTAAATCATCAGGTGACCCTGACAGGCAGAGGGACAGGATTTTTCACTCTTAAGTGTCTTTCTACATAATAATATTGTATGATAACAACGATAATGTTTCTCCAAAGAGAAACTCCACATACAACTAGGTACCTTCCTCCAACACAGAGGGCAATCTGTGCTCACCCTCCACTGTAACTAGACTGTTTTCAGTTTAATGGTATCCCTAACCCTCCTATGTAACATGGATCCCTATGGTAGACATTACTCATGCTCACCAGGATTTCTACTTTCCCATTCCTTCTGAGTATATACTCCCTTAAAGTTAGGTAATGACTACGTGACTTCCTTTGACCAGTGAAGTGTGAGAAGTGATCTGTGTTGCTTCTGGGTGAAAACATTTAAGGTTTGGTGCACAGTTTTTAATACTCTCTTCCCTTGCCATGGTGCTCATGGAGGGGTCATAGGAACGAAGAGACTAGAATGACGAGTCACCCTGAGAGCTTCCTGAAGATTTTGCATGAGGAGGAAATTAACTTTTATCATACTAAGCCACTTACATTTGAGTGCTATTCATTACAGCAGCATAAGCTAGCCTACCCTGACTGATGGAGTATCTCACTAGCTCAGTTCACACTGATTACCATTCATCCAGCAGCCCATAGCTACATACATAGCTGTTACACCAGTAAGTTGTGTTCATACATAAGTCGGCACCAGTCACTGTTGTAGGCAAAATCTCACAGAAATATCTGGGAGCAGCCAGAAGGAAGCTGGGATAATCATACTGTGTATCCTACACCCTTGCCAGGTCCCTGAATTAGCACTGAGGGCTTCCCAATGCAAATCACCATCTTGATTTATTACCAAGTAGGTGTCCATTTCATGGGAGGAGGAAGGAGTTTAATTTAGAACTCACTGAAACTTCTATGCTAGTAGGAAATTGAATGGAAATGCCTAGCAAGTAATCAGTAATGCAGAAATGGTGCTTGGAAACAAGTTAAGAATGTGGGTATAGATTCAGAAATAATCTCCACACACTTGAAAGTTGAACATAAGACATGAATGAAATTTCCAAGGGAAATGGCAGAAAGTGAGAAAAACAAAAAGCCAAGAAATGAGTCTCAGGAAACATTCATATGTGGGGGGCAGAGAGGCAAAGCAAGGAAGGGATTTATGAGACCTATGATGACAATACCCATTCATTTTGAGAGCTAAGAATACCATATCTTCATTAATAAATGCATTTAAATTTAAATTTCAAGGTTTTTAATGAGGATAAAAAATGTACTTCTCCTTAACAATCCATTTACTCTCTCAGATATTAAAATAGATTACCCATCCGACAGGCAGCTGGACATTATCTGTTATAAAAAGCAAAATGACTTTTTAATCAAAGTCCCAGAACTAATTTATCAAGATTTAAAGTTTTGCAGAAGAACCAGAACTTTTAAACATGTACAATTTGCTCTCCATTACAGTCGTTCATCTATTCAATAACCTTATTCTACACATCTGACCCCTGGTAGGCACTACAGGAGAGTAGTTGTCAATCTTGGGCTGGCTGCCTCATCCCCTGTGCCCATTTCATACACTGCTCCCTTCTGAGTACGTTGGACTTTATGCTCCTGCAAGGATGACCCCAAGAGTTAACTAGCTAACATTTTCTATATGCCAGGCACTATACTCGGTGCTTTGTACAAGTTTTCTCACTTAATCTTCAAGACTGAAGTGGATACTAGTATCATCCCCATTTTACAGTTTGGGAAGTTTAAATGTTGAGAAACTCACCTAAGGTCACACAGCTATTGAAGTGGTGCAGTCAGGACTCAAAATAGCCTGGTCAATGCCAAAGTGGGTGCTCTAAGCCTTGCTACTCAAAGTGTGGTCCTCAAACCAGCAGCACCAACATTACCTGGGAGTTTGCTAGAGAAGCAGAATCTCAGGTCCAACCCCAGACTCACACAATCAGAATCTGGTTATAAAACAAGGCCCCCAGGTGATTCCTCCACGCATGAGAGTCTGGAAAGCACTGTGCTAAGTCACTCCACTATGCAGACTTCACTTTAACAGCTGCTGGGGAGATGGAGACAATCTTTCCCCTGAGTGGCAATTTGGGGGAAAAAAAGGTCTGTACGTCTTCTCCAAGGGCAAAAGGAAGGACTCGGACAACAGCTTCTTGCAGTTGCAAACAGTGGAGATCAGCAAGGGTTGGGACCACTTCCAGAAGCAGCAGATCCTGAGCTGGGTCCTGAAGCCAGACACTTTTCTCAATTCATTTCATTAAAAATGGGTGCTGTTCCAAATGGACAATTGCCCACATCAATAATCTGGAGTTAGCTTCTCCAGCCTGGATTCCATTTTCCAAATAGAATCTGAGTGTCACCCACACCAGAAAAGCAGATTTAAAACCTCAATAAAATGGTGTTATTGCGTTGTTCATCGTATCGTTCGGCTTGGAATTACCTGCTGTAATTAATAATGTTCATGACAAAATTAGTTTGCCCCTCATCAAGTGTTCCCCAGGTATGAATACAAACACTTGGTGTAAAAAGCAGGTGCATGCCGGATGGTGTGAGGACTCCCCCAGGGACAGGTGCTTAATTCACGGTGTGGCGTCGCCTTTTCAAGCCCCTCTCCAAGCCGTGCTGGCCTCTTCCCTCTCGGGTGGGGCCCAATAGCCCAGCTCATTTCACCGGCTGGCACTTTATTCCGTGTCACCAACTCTTCCCGGCTTCCTAGGGCCCTAACCAGCGTGCCACCTTCCAACTGACCCGCCGGTGGGTCACTCGGATCTACTTGGCCCTCTCCTCAACTGGGGTGCCCACCTGCACCCCGCACCCCCGCGAAGGAGTGGCGCTGGCTGGGCTCTCTCGGGTGGACTCACCGAGCAGTGGCAGTGGCAGAAGGCAAGTCACGTGGGGCGGTGGGGGCGGAGCGCAGCAGGCCGGGTGGGTGGAGAAAACAAAGCCCCCAGCTGTCAGTAGAGGAAGGAGGCGACAGCGCCGGAGCAGGTGAGTCAAGTGCATTTAAAGCGGTACCGCCCTGGCGCGCCCCCACACCCCCTGCCCTGGCGCAGTCCCTCCCAGCCCGGACCCTGGCCGCGCCTCCACTCGCCGCCCGGGGGCTGCAGCCGGCCGGTCGTGGAACCAGCCGGACCGGGGGTCTCTGAGCCCAGCAAGAAGTTGCGCAGGGGTCGGCGGCGCGGCCCCTGGGTATGCAGCCGCCGCGCTCCCGCGGGCCTCATCTCTCCTTCGGGGCCCCAGCGCTGCGTACCCCGGGAAGGGGAGGGAGTCGGGGCTGCCACGCTGGCAGAAGCAAAGTGGACTGTCTCGGTGGGTGAGGGCCAAGGCTGTCCAGGACAGTGACACTTGGCGCTGGTGAAGAAGGGAGTCTTGCGGGTGCGCGCCCGCGGCGCACGGACCTAGAGGAGCCAGAGTTGGGGCTCCGGGACTGAGAACTGGGGGCGCTGGCAGGGGCTGCGCGCTTCGGGGCAGACCAGGAAGTGCCGCGCTCCGGCGCCCGCAGGCTGGGGAGCAAACGCTGGACCCCCGGCCCTGCTCTCGCCCCGGTGCTTCCCCTCCGGCAGAGATGAGCCCCACCACTCCCCACTCCGACTCTGACTTCTGATCGTGCTCCTGGGACTCGGGAGCCGGGTTCGCGGGAAAGAGAGCGGGTTATTATTCTGAGCCCAAGTGGTTCTTCTGCAGGGAGCACCCTGCGCACAGGGCGAGGGCTTCTTAGCGACTCCGCACAGTGCTTCTGTGGGAAATTTTTCAGCCCACCCTTAGAAGGGCTGCGCCGAGGCCAGAAATCCCACAAAGGGCCAGGAGGAGGGGTGGGCACAGAATGGCTCTCCCCGCTGAACCTGGAGCGCTCGGTAAAGCAGACTTACGACCTCAAAAGGGCTGGTGGATTTGGTCACCCCTTGAGTCACTTTGCCAGTCCCGTGCTAAGGGCTGCCCAGCGCAGAGGGCAGAGCTGTAACCTCAGAGGAAGGGGCGCTGCAGCCATTTGATCAGGAGGAGCCTTTGTCTTAACCCCTAGTCCCCTTCTGCTAGTCCTCGCTGGGTCAGTAGCGCGTGGAGTAATTAATATTCCAAACATTAGCCGTCCCTTCACTTCAGCAGCAGCCAACACTGCTGTGCCCTCCCTGCGGTTTTTCTCCACCACTTGCTCACGTCCTCTCCTTCAAAAACATGGAACGGGGTCAAGACGCACTAGGCATGAGGAGGTCACTAAACGCACTATAGTGCTGTCACGTAAAATCAAGGGTTAAGTGTTCAAACCTGCACCCGCCCGCCAGCGACGAGACGGAAGAACTTTTTTGATTAGCATAGTATCTGCCTTGAGGCCGCGCTGCGAGCCGGCGGTTCGGTCCCAGCCGGGGTGAAGCGTGCAGTCCTGTCTTGGCTGAGGTTTGACGCAGCACCTGCTTCTAATCTGAGAAGACCTGAGGTTTACAACTTTGCTGAACAAGACACTGTGGGATGAAACAGAACAGAGACCAAAAGGTAAACCGGAAGAATAGCAAGATTTGAGATGCTTCTCTTGGACACTCAATTTAGCTAAGATTTTAGCAAGCAAAGCGGGGGGAGGGTCCTTGTCTAGCCAGTGTCCCTTCTGGAAATGCACCCTTGCTTTAGCCCGCGTTCTTTGCTGCCTAACTAATTAGGTGTCAGCGGCTATGTGTCAGAATCTCAAAGATAGGAGGTTTAGGAGCCCACCAAGTGGTCATTAGGTAAGCTTAACTGGTGGGTTTCACTTGCGTGGAGAGAATGATGCTTCTCCAAGCAAAGGTTCCCAAACTTTGCTGCTTATTGGAATCACGTGGGGAGCTTTGACAACTCCTGATGTCTATTTCTCATCCAAACCCATTTAAATCAGACTGTTTGGAGATGAGAGCCAGGCATCTTCCTTCTTTTTTTTTTTTTTTAATCTCCAGATGATTCCATTGCGCAGCCAAGTTTGAGAACTGACGAAAACGAGCAGTTCAGTGGCCAGAAGCTGCAGGCATAGCAAGACAAGATGCCAGTTTAACTACTTGGGTGGGTGGGGGAAAAGACGCTGAAACTGGGGTGCGAAGACCAACACCCTAGGACTGGGGACTGTCATCTGGCAGCTTGGCTGGCCATGACACCTGCCACATCATTTTTTACCCTCTCTGCCGAGGGTCTGGCTCTTATTGGGAAGATCGAAGTTCACTGTCAGTGCTGGGCTTCTGCACGGTTGTTAAGGAGACGGGTAGAAACTTTCATACCCGTGATGACTCACGTGTAGCAGGCAGTGGGGACACCCAACAGAAACTAACCGGGAGCAGCCCTGGTGAGTCAGCAGGCTGCACTTCAGGGCGGAGCCCGGAGAATAAGAAGTAATTACATAGAGCAGTTTATTGAGGCGCACACCTTCAAAAGTACATTTGAATATCTGATCAGGAGCTATTTCCTTATAGGAGCCGCTCCCTTTTCCAGCGCCCTATTCTCCCTGCTTCATATAATGCTCTCTCCTGTTAGAAAGAGGACATAAAGCCATTTAGACATCTTGTAATTTCCTTGGTGGAAGCATGTAAAAAACTGTTGGGAAAGTGAGAACTGGTTTGGGTTATTTCGGTTATGCGAAGTGGAGAGGATGAATTTGCAGTACATAAGTTTTGAATACAAAAAAGTCAAATACTGTTTAATTACACATTCAGGGGTGGATTAAAGGATCAATTTAAATAGAAATGGTTACACCTAACATTTTACATGAAATTTAGTTTGCTATTAACCAAAGATTCCTTGCTTTAAAAAAAAATCATCCCCAAGACATGACCCTAATAAGATAACCTGTTTAAAGATGTACACGGTTTATTAAATAAACGTATTTTTCTTATTTTTATTGCTATTAACTTCAATTTTTATACCTCTCCTTTCTTCATTATTCTTTATATCCCCATGGCTCTCTGTGCTTTCTTCCCCATTCTCAGTCTCCTTAAGCGGGGACGACAGTGCCTGACACAAAGCAAGCATTCACTATAGTGAGTCATTGAACTTTGTTAGAATCTCTCGTCACATCTATGTACCCTGCTTCATATTCTATTATCTCTTAGGGGCCTTTATGTCTGCAGCCCCCATAGCACAGAGCACAGGGTCTTTCCTGTTGTGGATGCTGCTTGTTTATACTGAGCATTATTGGAAGATGGGGAGAACATTCGTATGCAAATCATCCTGAGTACATTGTTTTATTTTCCAAGACAGACGTTCTGGATATGTAGGAACCAAAGTTCTGTTACAATGCTTAATTGCTGTGAAATAGTAGCTCATTTGCTCACTTACATTTTTACACAAAACAATTTAGCATTCTGATCATAGCCAATAATTGTTATAACACTTAACCACATTCTCAGGGTGGAAGATTCACTTCACAAAAGTTGGCTCTCTACCCATTTATTTATTATGGAGAAAACACATGTCCAACTATGTGGATGCCTAAAGGAACTCATTCAGCTAGGAGAGTTATTTCAGAGTAGCACCAATGTCAGGTTAATAGTTAAGCAGCTTCTATTGTCATCGGCCTACATGAACGATAACAAAAGTACATTGAAATAGCCAGCATTTTTCAAATGGAAAGTTGCATGTATTCTTTGACAGATACCACCAAAGATAAATGTTAAGGATTCCCAAAGGCCAAAATGATGTAAACGAACCCATTCTCATTTCTGTGTGGCTTAGAAAAGGCCCTCCGGATGTATTTCTGAAATTTCAACCCCTTTTTTGGGAGGTCTAAGATATTGAAAGGCTGAAAGCTAGTCTAGAAAAATGTCACTAATCCAGACTAATCAGAGGATGGTATAAACCACCTCTGTCATATTTATAATTAGGCCAAAAGGGGTGAGGCAGAAAGAATGGTGTCATCTCAGTTTTAGAAGCTCTGAAGTTTTTGAGAACCACCCAGTCTTATTACCTTAAATTTATACAGCCCTTTAGTCTTATTAATGTATCAGGGCCTAAATATAATTGGGAAGATAGTATTCCCATGTGCCACATAGCATAAGTAAGTCCAAAAATTAAATGATCTTCCAAAGATCACTTAATGGTGAGAAACCTGAGGTCCTGACTCCTTTTCCGGTGTCTCTTATGTCATACTGCTGTTTCTAAATAGGTTTTGATGTAATCTTGCCTGGAGGTTTTGGCTAGACAAGCTCAGTTCTAATTATCCTCTCTCTCCTTAAAATAAGAGAAACTACTCACATACATCATGCTGTTACTGACTTTATTCTTAAATAATCAGGGGGCTGCCCCGTGGCCGAGTGGTTGAGTTCATGTGCTCCGCTTTGGCGGCCCGGGATTTCACCGGTTCTGATCCTGAGTGCAGACGTGGCACCACTTGTCAGGCCACGCTGAGGCGGCGTCCCACATGCCACAACTAGAAGGACCCACAACTGAAAAATATACAACTATGTACGGGGTGGATTTGGGGAGAAAAAGAAAAAATAAAAATAAAAAAATAATAAAATAATCAACCCTTGGACTAGGCCAACCCCAAACTGTCTGAGCCATCATTAGCTTCTTATCCAGATAACCCAAGTAAGAAGTTTTAAAATTTTCGCCCAAATCATGGAAGCATCAGCTCTCTTGTTTTAGGGCCCTTCATAGACAGTCATACCATCCAACAGAAGCTTAAATGCCCTGGACAGCGTCTTTACTAATAGTCCTCCAACTGATGCAGAAATGTCTCACTCGCAGCACCTTCCACCCATGGTAGGCTCTCTGCAGGGAGACCACGAAGAAAGCATCCAACTCTCTTACGTATTCACCTGCAACCATCCTAAACATTTAAAGTGAATTTATTCTCCTTAATGAGGGAAATCTAGCTATAGTATTTCAAATCTATTAATTGCACAAAATTTTTACTTCAGATTTGAAACCATAAATTTCAAGAGAAGTATTCCAAATTGTGGTTTGTTATACCAGGGCCTTATAGAATACAATCGTTGATAAATTTGCTTCCAACAAACCTAATAATCTACACACTTCAAAAATGCCTATTGACAAGCTTCATACACTGGCTTTAAGCTTCTGTTGAGTTGAAACCCATGGCTCCATTTGTTCTGGGAATCAGCAAACCATGGCCCACCATATCCTTGCATGGCTTGCAAACTAAGATTTGTTTTTGTATCTTTTAATGGTTGAAAACATATCAAAAGAAGAAAAATTTTGAGGGACCCTTAAAAATTATATGAAATTCAAATTTTAGTGTCCAAAATATTTTTGTTGGACTACAGCCATGCTTGTTTGCTTACCTCTTGTCTCTGGCTGCTTTTGTGCTACTGATATATTCTAGTTCAACATGCTTCAGTTTCGTTTATTTGTTTTTTCTGAGAATTAGCCCTGAGCTAACACCTGTTACCAATCTTCCCCTCTTTTTTGCTTGAGGAAGATTAACCCTGAACCAACATCTGTGACAATCTTCCTCCACTTTATATGTGGGTCACCATCACAGCATGGCTGACAAGTGATATAGGGCCACGCCCAGGACCCAGGCCCACAAACCCGAGTGGCCAGAGCAGAGTGCACTGAACCTAACCACCACACCATGGAGCCGACCCCAACACATTTTAGTTTTAAATGAGAATTAGCTCACATAAAGCCTCAGTCTTTTTTCAGTTTTTTTCCCTTTAGAGAAGGGAAAAAATTTGTTTCCAAATATAGGTCCATAATCACTAAAGATGGTTTCATTTCATGTTCCCCTTTTGTGTGCATTTACTTTGCAAAAGCAGCATATTTCTAAATAATACATGAATTTTAGTGATACGGTCAACTGTAAAACTTCTGAACCTAAACAAGCCCCAACAATGCGATACTAACTTACACTGAGCTACATCATCGTTTCCAGAGTTCTAGAAAATGGGAAAACACACCCTGGACAGCAAGCCCAGGGTGACACTTGCCTTATCTCTTTAGCAGAAGGAACTTCCTTCTTCTCCAACCTGTGAGGTCAGTTGTGTGGTCATCTCAGTATATGAAGGCATAATTTGAGGATTTATTCAGATTTAGAAATTTTTCATTGACTGTCATTTCATACACAAAACATGATGTGGAAATGCTGATTTGGGAAAAAGCACTATTCTTCTAAAGTATACATTTAAGGTAAATTGCTTGCTACTTATAAAGGCAATGATAAATAATAAGCAGATATACATATAGTCACCTACATTACTAAAGGTTGACATAATATCACGGACAATTTAGTTTGAAATTTCAAAACGTGCAAACTTTGATATTTTTATTATATGGTAAGCTATCAAAACCTGAAGCTTTAGGGGCCAGCCTGGTGGCACAGTGGTTAAGTTCTTCTTCGCTGGCCCGGGGTTCACCAGTTCAGATCCCTGGTGCAGACCTACGCACCGCTTGTCAAGCCATGCTGTGGCAGGCATCCCACATACAAAGTAGAGAAAGTGGGAGCGAATGTTAGCTCAGGGCCAGTCTTTCTCAGCAAAAAGAGGATTGGCAGCAGATGTTAGCTCAGGGCTAAT